ACGATTCCGTCCAAATTTGTTGACAATCGACTCGACTCAGTTTTCAGGTCTTGAAATTCCTTTTGAGAAGTTGTCACTGAGCCAGAAACAGTTCCCTCTAAGGCATTCAGTTGATCCCGAGTCGTCGATGCTAACTGCTCAAAAAGTGTCACCCTTTTCAGGACATCTTGAATATCAGTTTTCAGGGATTCTGCAGACTTGAAAGACTCTTCTAAAGCCTTGATAGTCTTGGAGTTGATCACATCAGTGTCTGAAATTCGCTTGATGTCAGACTCGAAAATTGCCAAGCGTTTGTCGGTCAGTTCTTGGGAAGCCAAAAAACTGGCTTTGCTTGTATCCACGATTCTGAGCAAATTATCATTATCTTGTGTCTGCTGTCTCTTGATATTTTGCTCCAGGACATACAATTGGCTTCTCAAACCTTCACGATCAGCTGATATTTGCGCTTCAAGCTTTGTCAGCTGAAAAAAAAAGCATAGAAGATCTGCACTGAACAAAATGAAGTACCCTTACAAATAAATTTTGCATAATAAATAAAAATAAATTCTTCCTTTTAAGAAGCGTGTCCGGTCAGCCGCCGGTCGGTCAATTGACGGTCGCGCACCTGCCAGTCATCAAGCGCCGGTCGGTCCAACCGCCAGCCAGGGCAGTTCTTGGCCTCCCCAATCCCCAGCCCACCAAACTGCGGTTTGGTCACCAGATTGTCGGGGCACCCAAACAATTGGGTGACAAGAATCATGCTGATTTTAAAGTTTGGTTGGGTTTGATAAGTTTTTTTCTTTTTGTAAAAATTTTTATAAGATGAAATTTTGTAAAAAAAAATAATCCATGGTAGGATACCATTCTGCTTACCAAATTCTAGAAAGAATCAGCATGATTCTTCTCACCAAATTGTTCCGGTGCCCCAAAAATTGGGTGACCGAACCGCGGTTTGATGGACTGGGGATTGGCAAGGCCAAGAACTGCCCTGGCTGGTGGTTGGACCGACCAGCGCTTGACGACCGGCGGGTGCGCAACCGTCAATTGACCGACTGGCGGATGACCCGGTACCTTTAAGAAGTAACTCCCAAAAAAAACATTATTCGAGACTTATTGGATGCTATTGGGGACAGATGTTGCCTCAGTATAAGTTAGTGTTCAAACTGGATCAAAAGAGTAAATGAGCATAAATAACAGACATTAATGAGTCCAGAACAGGGGCTAGCATTCCTTTTTGGAATTCCTGGGTTTAACCCTGGGACAGCGGAGGATTTTTTCCCATCAAAGGATGAAGTCAGATTATTTTTGTATCCTCCTGCATTTTCAGTTTTTCCAAGGTTGGGAAAACCCTTCCAGGTTGGCTGAGGCAAGGTTGGGATTAATCCAAGAAAAGCCTGTTGCTTAAATGAGCATGTTATTTCATTTTCCTGCAAAATTCTGTGTCCAAGGAAAAAACATTGCGATTTCTCCCAACTTTGCCCTCAACCCCCTGTTGTAATTTTTTCTTTACCTCTCTGAGGTGCAACAAAGTTTTGCAAAAATACTCCAACTTTGTTGCTCAAGGGTTAAGGAAAAAGTGTATTTCACACAGAATAATAACTACTCAGCAGCCTCTTGCTTCAAGTACTGGATAGAACTGGAATAATTCTCATCTTCATATACAATATATTCTTTTCTACTTGACTGACTAGCTCAACATCCAATAATTAACTTTCATTAGATTTTACCATTTGCTTTTTGGGTGGAGGATGAACCTTTAGTAAATACTGTGAAAATCATCAATGATGGTGCGCTTGCCCAACAGATGCTGCTATTTTTTAAATATTATATAGGATACAGCATTAAACAAGCTCATGTCAAAGAATGCATGCATAAAATATGCAGTACATGTTTTTTGAGTCAGAATGAGTCCATCGAAATTTAAAAATTTATTGCAGAGCCACACTAACATATATTTTACAAGAAAATATTACTTCAATAAGAAATTAATGAAAATTTATGTATTCAAAGGAATAAAAGTTTGAGAACCAACATCATCAAATATCAATTGAAATGATTTTCATTTCCGCTTTAAATTAATGATTACCCAAAATTCCAGCATTATTGGAATACATATACAAGTGGAATAACTTCAATATTCAACTTCATTGGAAAAATTGAATTTCATGAAAGTTATCCTAAAAAAAAAGCATGCAGTCAGTTGAACAAAGTGGATACGAGCCTAAGAAAATTTATAAAATGTTAACCTTTTGCTGCAGATCCGAGAAATCATTATTCGATGATTTCCAGATGTCGTGCAAGTCTTTGATTCGTTCTTCCAGTTGTTGGCTGGATTTTTCCAGGTTTTCAACTGAAGACCATTTGAGTGAAATGGCGTCGATTGAATTCTTGATTTCACTGTTCTTTGCAACCAAATTTTGGGCAGTAGTTTGAGCCGCAGCGAGGTTAATTTCGAGTGCCTCGATTCTTTTCACGGCGGATTTGTCCGATGTCGAGACTTCCGAAATTTGACTTGACAAAACTTGATTGAAATCCGCTAGTTTTTTCTGGGTCTCGGCTGTGGTTTGCTCAGCAGATTTCAGAGATGCCCCGACAGTGCTTTCCAGGGTTTCCAATTTGCTTTTTAATCCCTCCACAATCCCCAAAGACTGCGCCAATTCGGTTTTGACTCGGACTTGTGCAGTTTCCAAGAGTTCCTTGGATGCTGTCAGTTGTTCAATTTGCGATGAGATTGATGCAAATTTTGACCCGGTTTCGCTTTGGATTGCGGTTTTCAACTCCGAAAGTTTCTTTTGAAAAACGAAGAAACTTTCAATGATGTTACGAAAACGGTAAACATTATATTATGCATTTTTGAAAATTTAATGCACAAGTTTCTCCGACGAGTCATCGACATTTCTCCGCTGATTCGAGTAGATGTAAGAGAAAAATTTGGCAAGTATGAAATAAATCTGATACCCAATTACTGCACTGTAGAAATATGCAGCATATAGTCAATGATTTGGGAGGTTTTTTTGCTCAAATATTGGAAAGTATGACAAAATAAAACAAAACAGAACAAAAGTCTTCCAATCTTTTAGCAAATCCTGAAGGAAATCTTTGAAACTTCAAGAAATTTTTTTATATTTTCTTAAATGGGAAAATGGTCTTGTGTTTTTATAAAGAAGAACTGTAAATTCACAACTGAAATTCATAAAATTATTTAAAATTACTTGAATACAATGCAACAAAACTAATTGCTTAAATGCTAACAGATGTATGATAGAAAGATGAACATAGCCTGAATATAGCTTAGAAGAAGAATCTGTATCAAATTTGAGAAAAACATGATGCTTCCTTTTTTCAAAACTTCTAAAAGTAACTGCACTATACTGTTATTTTAAAATTGCAACGGTTGTCTTGATCATGACTGTTGGAAATTAAAGATTCAAATAGGATAATATTGGAATTCAGAAATACAAATTTGAAGGGAGATTAATTATTAAAGTTTCTGAAAGAAACCTAATCCATCGGGAATTTCATGAGACCAAGTTAGACCTCAAGTTCCCACAAGAGTTTCCAATATCCTTGAGATTTCCTAGGATCATTCACTCCTCAGGGACAAAATTCCATTAGGAAAGGTTATGAAGTGTTGCATAATAAATGTTTAAATCATCAGTTGCTTTTGGGCAGTCTTGCGCAAAAGACATCAAAACGCTTGTTTGCGACCCATTGCTTTGAAATCCTTGCTTTTTTTCAAATATACCAACCTTACACTATAGGGTGTCAAGCACTGCAGCTGTAGCCTGGCTGAGTGCTGTATTCTTTATTTTGAAAATTGAATCAAAACCTTTCAGTCTCAACAATGACTTCATGAGCGCAATGGATTGCAAAATTTTCTCCATTCACAATGAACTTGATGAATATAAATATTCCTGTAGTAAAAAAATAATTTGAAGATGATTTGCAGGACTTATCAAAATCTCCTCGTACATTGATTACGTCTTGTGGACCATTGGCAACGCTGAGATTCAATTGAGAGATGGAAGATTCCAGTCCAACAACGTGTTCTCTCAATGAAACGCCTTCAGAGGATCGAAGAGCGAGTTGAGTTTCCAATGCTTGGATCTTCTCGTTGGCACCGCGTATTTCAGCCAGGATTTTTGGATCCGGTTCCGGTTTCGGTTGGGACTTGAAATAGTCTTCAATCAATTTCGCAACCTGTTTCTCAATTCTGCCAGCCAGGGCATTTTGCTCAGTTGAAAACGCCTTTGAGAGGGTGTCCAATCGAAGCTGGTTCCGCACAACGGTTGTTTGTGCTTCTGAAATCTTTTTCGTAGCATCTGCGATGGCTTCCGTCACGTATGTCTCAAATTTGGCGAATTTCGCAAGCCCGGAATCCCCTGTATCGTCGTTGTTATTACCCAATGCTGCCTGTGTGTATAGTGAGACAAGTTAAAAAATTGACCTTGTTGATCATATTAATACCATGCACACAGATGAAGTTAGTCAAAACACTGTATCTCCAGGTTTAGTAATTTTCAGTTTATTAGCTGAAAATTAATATCAGGTGTTGCTTGAATTAACCCTTGGACAGCAAAGGGTTGTTTTCCAATGCGCAGCAAAGTTGGAATTTTCTTGGGTGGTCTCATGTTTCATTTTTCTTGAAGGCCACAAAAGCCAAGCCAGGTTACCTAGGGCAAAGTTGGACGTTTTCTGATGAAAAGGTGCTGCTAATATTTCCGGAAGTTGGACTTTTTCTGTTAATACTTTTCTGCCTTTAAATAAGAATCCTCCGTCTGGCACCCAAAATGAAAGGGTTGCAAATCTGACAAGAATGCAACTAATACAAAGAGAGGCTAAAAAAAGGCTCAGCCTTGGTGATGCATTTTTTATTTTTGGGCAAATATTTTTCTCTGGATTTAAGAAAAAGCATCAGTATTTTGTCAAACTTTGCCCTGGGTGAATTGTTACTCTTTTTTAAAACTCTTTCCTCACAGAAACAACATTTTGGGGTAAAAGTCCAACTTTGCCTCCCAAGCTTTAAATGCAAACTTTTTTTCTGTGTACAAGCATGTATAAGAAATGTGATCTTCATTGAAAAGTTGCCAGGCCATGAACAAATATATTCACTGATGGTCATGATGAAATTGGGTATCCAGGGTATTGTCTTGTGGCACATGGAATTGCATTTTTCTTTGGAACACATGGACTGTGTTCTTTAAATCATTATTTTTTTTTCAAGCCACTGCTGTTTTAATCTGATAGACACTGGTGCTGCATGTGTACCAAACTGGTTATTTTGATTTTTCTGTAATGGAATTTGCTATTGTTTTGCATAATGACGCTTTGGCGAATTTTGCATGTGGAAATCATGAAATAGAGTCAGTCTCACTAAAAAACAGCATCAAAGCCATGTCCGGTCAGCCGCCGGTCGGTCAATTCACAGTCAAGCACCTGCCGGTCATCAAGCGCCGGTTGGTCCAACCGCCAGCCAGGGCAGTTCTTTGCCTTGTCAATCCCCAGCCCACCAAACTGAGGTTTGGTCACCCGATTGTTGGGGCACCCAAACAATTGGGTGACAAGAATCATGCTGATTTTTTTTTCAGAATGGTATCCTACCACAGAATTTTTTCAAAATTTCAGCAATGTTAGGTTAGGTTAGGTTAGGTTAGTATATGTTATGTTAGGTCAATTTATGTTATGTTAGTTTAGGTTAGGATATGTTAGGTTAAGTTAGGTTGGGTTTGATAAGTTTTTTCTTTTTTTGAAAATTTTTACATGATGAAATTTNTTATAAGATGAAATTTTGTAAAAAAAAAAATAATCTATGGTAGAATACCATTCTGCTCACCAAATTCTAGAAAGAATCAGCATGATTCTTGTCACCCAATTGTTTGGGTGCCCCAACAATCGGGTGACCAGAATGCGATTTGGTGGACTGGGGATTGGCGAGGCCAAGGACTGCCCCGGCTGGAGGTTAGACCGACCGGCGCTTGACAACTGGTGGGTGCGTGACCGTCAATTGACTGACTGGCGGATGACCCGGTACCCATCAAAGCACCTTATTAATGCTTTTCCTTGGTTTAAATAACATACAACTGTTGGGAAAACATGAACTTGGGTTCAAGGAGGAAACTATTCCACTGGTTTCAAGAGGAAGCCAGTGAAGGTTAAAACTTGCATGATGTAGTTCAGCATTATTTTCTTAATACACACACATTTATTTCTGTTGAATCATTAATATCATTATCCAGTTATCTTCTTAATCCAATTTGTGCACAAATTTGGTATTGTGTTTTCTTACATTAAATTCGTGACTTGTGATTTTAAAAATGCATGAAAAATAAAGGTCGAAACTAGGAACACATACTCAAGGTCCTATCCCATGTGTGTTCTTGGCCTAAAAGGCTGATTGCCCTGCCTCATCATTGTTCCACTGCGCTGTGATTCAATCTTTTCATGTTGAGTGTCCTCAGCAATAATGCTAAGGTCTCTGAAGAGAACTTTTAACATGTATTGCTAGCAAGCTGCGTGAATGCTTAACACTTTGTTTTACATTTAATTTGGAAAATTTGTGCTTTTTTAAGATAAAACGATGAGCAACATTCAGTGATTTCTAGTTTTTTCAAACAACAAAAATGATGAATTTTTCAAGTTTTTTACAATGGAATCTTGTCAATGAATCAATGCTTACAATGCATTGGTTTTTTGTCCATGTCATCGAATATAGCCACAATATTATTATTTTGATTTTTCTTCAATAATTATTTTTACAGCAAAAATTTGTTTAGGCTTCCAAATGCTTCATTCTGAAGAGATTCTTCTGTACTTTTTCTAAAATTCTCGATATTTTCTCTCGTGTTATCGGATAAATCAGACAATTGTCAACTTGAACAGCGTATTTTGTAAACCGTTTTATTTGCAATATCAATTTAATAGTTAATTTCTCTATTAAGCTTCACTTTAATTAAGAGCTTTAATTTCGACGATGAAGGGCTTATTCATCATTCGCACTGGAAACTTACACAGAATTTATGTTTGATTTATATTAGTTTTCTTTAATTGCCTTTAACTCGTGTTTACTTTCCAAAAATATCTCCCTCTCTATTTTTTAATGCGTTTCCACTCACGTTTCATACACTTTCCACCATGCACTAATTCAAACCAGTTTAATATTTATTCACTCATTTGAAAGTTAAGTTTTCCGACTGACTGAAGCAGTTCGGGTAAAACCGTGCCTAAATTATCGTTAGAACACTTTATGTGGGTTAAATAGCTATATATAAACTGGCAATTTTCAAAAATTTGAGAGTGGATTTTTTTCAAACGTACGTCAACGGGTTCTTTTGTATCCGGAGGATGACTTGCCCGACTTGCCATAATTTGATGAAGAATCATCAAAACTGCCAAGAAACGTGGCCAAGAAGTTGACCTCATCGCCACTTGTCCTTTAAAAATTATATTCAAAATATTTAAAAAAAAAAAAAAAAAGAAAAAATGCCATCTCTCAAGAAGATAAAAAAAAAGTACAAGCGAATGTTCACAAAGCGATGGAACGACTAAACCTCCTGAACTCTTCATCTGGGGCTTGAAACTTTGTTGGCATGAGAGTAAGTACTGACGGTGTCACTGATTCGGTACTTTGTAAGTAACAGCATATGGAAATGAATGGTGAGTACGTGTGTCGAAGGTTTGTTTAAATATGCTTTGAGTCCACGTGTGTCTGTTTCTGCTGAGTCACTGCTGGGATGCGGTGCAATTATGTGTGTCGAAAGATTGCTGCGATGTGAAACTCATCTTTTTCATCAGAGGCTTGTCATCTGAAAATTTCCTTTATAAAATCAATTCCGAAATGAGCCCATGGATTCAAAAATAATGATACGAAGGCAGCAGATTATTTTACGTGACGACGGCTGTGCACATTGAAAAAAAAGGTTTTCGACTGAACTGTTTTTGGAACATATTTCATGAGGTTTCTCGAATTATTTTTGGAGGCCGATATATTCTGTATTATAAAAATTAGATTTATTCAAGATGCACAACATATTTTCGTCGCTTTATTGGCAGATGATGTTGACAAAAAAACAAAGTGTCTCTTGTTTCAACCTCAAGAAATTGTCTTGGAGAATTTTTTGACAAATGTCATTGCTGAGGTTTTAAAATATTTTTGTGCAGATTATTCAAAACTTGTTTGTATAAAAGTAGACCCAGTAAATAATTTGTTACAGGAAGGGCTGGGTGTAACTGCTATGCTTTATGCTTTACTGAATGCATTTGTTATGTGTAACTGTTACACCCAGCTTATTCTGTTATGCCTTCTTTTCTTTTTTTTGGTGGTGTACTTGAACATTCTTCTGCAAATGCATTCTGTAGTAACGCCTATACTTCAAAATTTGGGTTTTACTTTTCTTGATTGTAAAAGGCAGGTGTTTTGAAATGCCTATATGATATGCACTATTCAAAATCCCAAGTAGGTGTAACATAGATGGGCAAGAAATGCAAACCAATTTTGGCTGATAACGCATTTAAAATGTGTTTTTCAAAATGCCTAATTATTTGCTGGGGAGGGAATCCTGGTTCTAAAAGGAAAATTGTTTTGAGGCTGCTGTTCAAATGCTTTGAGTTGTTAAAAATACCAAAAAAAATGTAACACATTCAAAGAACTATCAAAGACCAGATAATTTGAGCTTGGATACACGCGTAACAACTTTAGTATACGTTACCTTGGAACTTCAATTTTTGCTACTGAAAAATGGGGTACTTTTCATGCAAAGAAATTGCGGTTTCTTAAATTTGCGAGATAAAAATTCAGGACTGTGTCTGACCCAGAAGAACATAAAACATTTTCATTAATTTAGTTTTAATCAACCAGTGAGATTCAGAGCTAAGGGCAATGCAATAACCCAAAATCCCGATGAGATTTTGATCCCCTGAAGCACTCTGACCATGAAGAACTTAGTTGGGATTTCCAATAGAAAAAATCTCCTTTCAATAGAAAATTGTTTATGCAGGATGCATGCTTCATTGTACAGTCAACCCCCATCTAATGGACTTGATTTGTGCAAGGGACAAGTCTGTTAGACAAAAAGTCCTTTACATTAATTCAATTACATAAAAAATTAAGAATTTCAATTTTCAACACTAATTTTAGACCAAAAGAAGTCTGTTTGGCGGATTTTGTCTATTGGGCAGGAGGAAAAACTGCTTGCAGAGCTGGTCTGTTTGGCAAAAATCCCTTACACGGGAGGTCTGTTAGGCAGGGGGCCACTGTATTTTTGATACACATGGTTCGAACAGCAGTTTCCGGAATGCATTACTGTGCCGTAAATTTCGAATTATGTAGAAAAATACATGAACTGTACACTGCCACTGAACAAAGCGACATATCGTGTATGATTCCTATACGCCTTTCAAGCAATCTTGCAATGAGTAAACGTAGATGTCGCCCTTTTCTGCGTGTCACGAAGGCATGAACAGTTCGCAGAAGTTGAAAACTCTTTGCATTCGATTGATTTCGAATTCAAGGGGTCATCTTAATAACAATTGCGATTCCATTGTCATCAATATTCAGTTCACAAGCTTGATCCTTCTTGACAAGGAATGTCGTGTCCTCAGGAAGACGATGTTCTGCTCCATCTATAATCGCCAGACTCTTCCCTTTCTGAAAATTAAAATTCATCAAATTAACAGAACATTGGGTAATACCATTTGCCACAAAAAAAAACACGAATTAGAAGTCATCACCAGCTGCCAAACGAGCATTTCAGCTTCGACATCCGCAGGGTATTCGTGAGCTCCCGGGGCCAAGACGAGAACCTTTGATTTATAGTCGCTACTGAACAAGGGCAGATGTCGCCTCACAGCCAACTTCTCGGCATGCTCTTCCAACCAAAGTTCAAGATCGAAAGGACTATCAAGTTTCCGAGAAGAGTCGGGTTCCCAAGGTGGATCGGCTTCAATATCCTGGCCAGGAATCGGTTTCCCAGTTCTGCATTGCTCTGAAGCAAAGAATTGCCTGATCATTGGGCCGAGCTGCGATCCGAGGTCTTCGCAGTGGAACCATTTCTCATACAGGATCTCCGTGGATTCGTCGACAAAATATCTGTTGAATAATGATATGGGAGATCGCTTATATCGTAGTCAGAAATTCCGTTTTAATTTTTGCAACAGAGATTTTCAAGTGAAAGTGCTAGTTTTTACCTCAAAGCATCGAGTTCCGTCAACTTGCGTTCCCTTTCTATGACGAGTCCCAGCGTATTTTCGAACCTTCTGGGCGAATGAGGGATTTTTCCGGGAAGTAGGAAAACCTGGAAGATATTTCAAATGTGCAAAAGTTCAAATTCAAAAATCTTATTGCAAGGGTTTTCTGGAGGTGAAATACTGTATCTGCCCCAGTTAACAAGAGTTATCACGAACAGCTGCGACAAAATTTGGAAGAGCCAATAAAAAAAATTTCAAACCATCTTCCGGAGCAGATGAAGATTAAAAAAAAAACTTCAACTTTCCAAGTCCGTAAACAAACAATTTCTTTTAAGTAATGAAAAACATTACAAATTGCGTTATTGTGACTTGTGAGCAAAAGAACTTGAAAGGACTGCCACCTATTTTTTCCTACAGAAAGTAAACCTTGGTTCGGATAATGAATCGATTGACTAAGGATTATTGCTTATGAAACTATAATAAAGTTGATGCAGGAAACCTGCCAGACATTGCAATTAATGCACTATAATTTCTTGATTGCTGAATAATTTTCCGGTTTATATGCAGTATTTAAAATGTACTGTATTTAGTTATTAGAGAATACTTGGAAAAAAATTCCAAGAAATCCAAATCAAATTTACTTTTTCATGTACAGTGATAAAATATAAGTTTCTCATCCAAACATATTTTTATGGGCAAAGAACAAATATAATTGCTGTTATGCACAGACTTCCAAAAAGTATTAATTTTGTTGTAGCTTTATTCATCAGCTCATCAAAGGATGCATTTTTAATAAATTCCTTTGAAATTGACAACCTTCATTTTTGAGCTTCTGAAGACCATAATACAGCACATAATGTTAGTGTTCTTTTGACGAAATGGTGTGGAAAAAATACATTTCAACTGAATTCTCATTGTAGACTTCTTATTGTAGTATAATTTATTCAAAGAAAAATTTGCGCCTTATTGAACGTGCATGTCTTTCAAGGGGAAGCAATAAGTGATCTTTGATCCCATGAGACAATTTGAAGATGTTTTCCCAAGTGGGGAGCTATTCTTTGTGTGACCCCACAACTGGTGCACACTGGGGTCAAAACTGGTGTACATGGGCTATTCTACGGTTACAAGCATGCACCTCTGTGTAGATGAAATTTTGCTAACATTCCAGGGCTACATTTGGTGCACAAATGTGACATAACAGGAGTATCACACAAATGCACCAACTAACCTTGGTGTACCTTATTTGTTACAAATGTGACCCTGAGTAATCCTGGTGTGAACACACAAATGGTGAACATGAGGGATATGCATGTGCAGAAGAAGAACTTCAGTACACTTCAGGTGCACAGCAGGGTTACTGTGTGGAAATACATGCATATCCCAAGTGTGCACCATTTTCCCCACTTGGGTTATTTTTCCAATAAATTTGTGAAAATTGATGGACTTAGGCAAACACACATTTCTTTCTGATGATGATGTCATTTTAAAAATGAGCATTGGAAGAATAACTTGCCTCGCCTTCCCTGATGTGAATGTCTTTGAATTTTCCTTGCTCCATTACGACCAGCAGCATGTCTCCCTTCCGCTGGTAGAAGAATTCCTCGCCTTCTTCCAAATGGAAATCTTTCCGCTGGTTGGGACCACCCACGAAGAAGACCTTCAGTTGACCTTTTCCGTGTCTATATAGGGAAAGATCAACGGAACATTCGATACCTTATTGACCCCCGGGAACTTTTTCAGGGTCAAACTCTAAGTTCATTTGAGTTCAGAAAACCTTACGCTGACGCTGCTCAAGAAATTAAAGTGAAATAATTATTTGAGGGAAATGAAATCGACTGATGAACATTTTGGGAGCCCTGAATGAATTTTTGTCAGACGTTACTACAACAAACAAATACAAGAAAAACTCACAGACAGTTCGTATATACTTCAATCTTTTCTTTTTAAACGGAATGACGCTTTGTGCGATAAAATTTTTGTCGTCAAACAAAAAAAAATAAGCCTTCAGGACAATTTGGTTAACGAGAGCAGGGATATCAAACGACGTATATAAAGTTTAAAGGATTATTTCGGAAGTTGAAATAAACAGCATTCAGAAATTGAATACTGTACTCTTGATATCTTTCAGCTCTTTGATTCGGGAAACAGTGGAAATAAATAAAATGCCGTACACGCGTACTGTACTGTGTACGCAAGCAAGAAACCGGCACTAGCGGGATCTAGCGACATCTTCTCGCGGTGCCTGTTTCTTTGCATAACAATCAAGACAAATGATGGTATAGGTGTCGCTACAAAGCAAATGTCACTCAAGGAAACTTGATTTCTTTTTTCCGCGTTTCACTTGTAAAGTTGCAATTACTGTTTCTATTTTTGCGAAGTGTAATTGGTAAGTGATATAGGTGCACAGAATAGAGAGGTTAATGATGAAAATTTTCTTTGGCTTTTTTCATCACTCCACTGCAAATAAGCAAATATACTGTAAACGGAATGCGCGTTAGGGCAATTTAATTTAATTTATAGCATATGTTAGTTCAGTACAGTATAGTATTTTCACAGTATTTGAAGTACAGTATTACCGAGTAGAGTATTTTAAGTTTTTCATTTTGAAGATTCATATTTTTATACAAACTGCCTGTTGAATACTCACAGCATTTTGTTGCAAACTGGCGGCTGAAAGGACGTCTCATTTTCAGCTAACCATTGCAACAAATCGGTGTACTGATTTTCCTCCATATAGGTACAGTATAGAAAAATGCCTCAGATTCACGTTTGCATAAATACAATCTGAAAGATACCTGCGAGAGAACCACGTACGAATAAAGTTTGAAAATCTCGCAAATTTCCCTACAGAACACAATGTATCTTCGTTATTAACCTTCGTATCACTGGATTATCAATAGGCAGCAAATATCCTGAAGACTGACGTTGCCTGCCGTGCTTTTCATGCAAGTCTCAGGTCGGATGATACTGAACTTTATTGTGCTGGCTGCCTCCTTTACGAATGTAAATGTTTTTCTCAACCAGGATTGGTAGATGCATTGTGCTCTGTCCTTGAAAGGAAGATATTTCTTTGGAATGCGTTTGGGTTGGACACACCCACACGAAGGCGCTACAACGATTACAATCAACACCGCGTTTAAGGTTACCACAGTACCTCAATTGTCAGCCAAAGAGCACCGAGAGGCGCGACATCTACTTTGTTTCAAAAAGACGTAAGTAATTTTCTAAAAGGTTCGATGATGTAGGCGTCACTAACAGCTCATGACCATACGGAGGCAAATCCGGATTTCAAGAGGTAAAAATCTATCGAACGTTTTTTGGATTCACAAAGAGGCTGCAATTTTTCATGTGCTAAAATACTTGATCGTAAATTTGGAAATATATGTATTCCCTCAGACAGATTCTCAGCAAAAGCGAAATATTGCGTTGCATTTCCACGATTACCAGAATATAACAACACTTTCGACGCGTTAATAATGGTTTAGCCTCCATCCATCCAGTTTTCTTTTAATCCTTCTCGCCCTTCGCAACAACAGAAAAGCCTCATTTAAAAGGTCAAACAGAGAAGTCTTGCAATTTGATTGACCAAAGCACTAAATCATTTCAAAACATCCTCTTCCGATTTCGGAAATGAAATTCAAGTCGAAATTTGGCCCCTGAGGGTCACGACCGCCGAGCCAGCAATATCGATCCTGTCGCCCTTGATCAGCAAACGCAATTCTCCTCCTCGTCTTGAACATTGTCGAGCTACGATAAAAAAAAAAAAAATTGATTGAAAAAATGAGACAGAATTAAAATGAAAAAACTATTTTTTCATTTCACAAAAAGAAGCTTAGCCCGGGACGGGAAACTTACCGACAAAATCCGTTTTGCCTCCCAATTGTTCAGACCAATAAGGAGCTGTGACTGTGTGAGCACTTCCTGCGTACACAAAAGTAGAAAATAATTGCATACACTGCATATACTTTTTTCAAATGTAAATATTCCCATGCTTTCAGTTCAATAGGATGGGAATTTGTGAAACGTTTATCATCTCCTGGAAGTTAGAAAGTCCATCGTCGATTTTTAGAATTTTGAGTAATTTTGGAAGATACTTCTATAGATGAAGTTCTATATATATATTACTCAATAACTCGTATATATATAATTATACATAAAAATTACCCAAAATTACTCAATATATAAATATATATTTTAAACATTTGTTTATTTATTTATTTATTTATCCTTTTACTTCAAGAAGGCTTCATAAAACCCCCCAAAATTCTCGAAAATTTCAAAGATGAAGTGAACCAATTCCCAATTCACACGGAGTTGAAATTTGGAGAGAAAATTGTATTTTCCTCTCAGAACTTGGGAATAATCGAGCGAAGAGCTTGAAAAAATTCTCAAATGAGCGATGACATTTTAGCCCTAATATCGAATGCTCTGGAATTCGCAGACAATTTAAAGCAGCTTTCCTTCAGAAACTTATCGCTTATTCGCAGAATGAAATACATTGATTATAAAATAATCACGACGATACTCACGAACATAAACTTATCATTTTGTGAGACGAATGAGGAGAAACCCAGATTTAGTACTAGAATGAGATCAAACGAAATTTAGTCAAGTTCAATCACATTCTGAACCAACAGTACCGTCGCAAAATCGTCACAGTATGTACCAAGAATTAGGAATCTCCTCCAATCACGGTCACAATCACGCCTCTGAATTTGCTTCCGTCGTGAATCGACTTCAACTTGGACAAACTCGGAACTGGAAGTTCCTCCAACATCGACCTAAATTCGGAAGGAAAACGTAAATTCGTTCGAGGTCGACTTCATTGATAGAAGTTGCAAATTCCCGCTGAATAAAAACGATTCGTTGATTCAATTTAGGCGCGCGGAAGAGGAAGTTAAATTTAAATACCGCGTTTCTCTAAAAAAAATAAGATAAAAAAGAACAGCTGCCTCATCATCAATTTCAAAAATTAACCTTTTTCGTCTGATTATTTAAAGGTCTGAAATCGTAAAATGTACGAAACTTGGAAACTAAGTCTGTCGAAAAACCAAGAATATGTGGCGACATTTCAACGAAAAATTGCTTCAATCTTCCGCTTTTCGAAACTGAATTTTAATTACTCATTGTACGTTTTTTGAGTAGCATATAAAATAAATTTGAGGAATTCTAGCAAGATGCCATTAAAAGGTATTGAGTGATTCCTAAGGTTTGTTTAGCATTTTCAATTGTGTGATGGGATAATTTATCAAGTTTTGTAAATATCCTGATGAATATAGGAAATCCAAAGAAAACATGAATATACATACCAAAATATACGGAAATATGGTTCTTCTGCGTTACTCATTTGATTTAAGGATGTCCTGCGGTTTTTTGCCCTGTAGGAACCTTCGGAAATATTTTAAATTGAAAAAAATTTTTTCTTAGACTTAATTAGAGTGACAAAATCCATGAAATGATAACCACTTTCCAGGGAAAAAATTCTTAAAAATTCGTATATCAAAATTTGTTGGTTTAACGATTCTCCTCGAGAAGTCCGTTTAAAAGTTTGATCAAAGAGCACAAAATTCCGTATCAAGTCACGTTTTCAAATGAATACGATTCTTTTAAATGTATAGTGCGAGAAATTTCCCAAAAGTCTCGAAAAAAAATTCATTAAAAAAATGCAGCGAATTTTTCTGCTTGGACTGATGATCGAGGCTTGGGCAACCAAATTAATTTATCCCTCATAAATTTCCAAGAAAATTTTTCAGTAAATGTTCTCATGAATTGGCTTTTGTATTATTATTTCCGGGATAATTCGTTCCTTTTCACTGCGTATAACACGTTCAAGTCAAATAAATGCAATTTTTTTGAGTTTAGCGAAAGACATTTCCAGATAGTTTCCGCCTGGACAATTCAACAAACATTTGCTGAAATTCTGAGCTTTGATACTCGGGCATCCAAATCTAATTTATCTCGCCTCAATTTGAAAAAAGAACAGTATTCATTTCGAAATCTTAAAAAAAAATGAATTCGTTCTTTTCAGGATCACATGATGAATCCTAATGTTCCTCGCTGAAAATTGTTTGCAAAAATAAAAATAAAAATAATTGGGTGAATATATTGTATACTGTATATACATAATGAGAAGATTCGCAGCAGAAGAATGTTATTTACTGCGAGCAAAAGTCCTCCAGGCGAACCAAGAGTTTCTTGGTGACTGGGCAATATTGAATGTCAGCGGGTTCCAGGTCCTCGCCCAGAATTTCCCTAATGATGGGCATGGCTTCGTCAGTCTGCTCCAATTTCGACGGTTTGTTCAGCGGAAAGTCCATTGTGATGTGGTTCGCCCCGGACTTCCGCACTTTCAACGCCCCGCTCAGCGTTTGGAAAGTCACGTCTTCGCAAGAATTCTCTAATTAAAAAAATAATAAATACAAAATGAAATATGAAGTTAAGTATAAGAGACCATTTTTAGCCGATATGTCAGTGTCTTTTTTTTTGCTGTCTTTTTGTATCATTGAGGAACTCCCACGCATAGCTTTTTTTCTTTCATAAAAAAGGTTCAAGCATTTTTTTATTTTTTTAAGCAAGCGGAAGTTATCGTGCAGCTAATACGATAGGACAATTTCCTGCGGGAACCTGCTGGCTTTTAAGAAGGGCATTGTATGGAAATGAAAAGAAGAGATTCCATGAAAAATCTCATTTCCCGAAAAAAATTACCGGTCTCCAACATATAGGTAATATTCTGACTTCAAAACAACGCTTTTTCAACTTTTTTTTATACTTAGCTTGAGCCGGTCACATTTCTGGAGGTTTGTACAGTACAAAGAAATATTTTCGAACTATCACGTCTTTTGAAACCTTTGTTTGTTTCTTATTGCTGAGGCGCTCAAAACACAAAAAAAGAAGCGTACAAAATCGCTCTAAAATTATTAGTGATTCCATGATGGTTTATAGTCAGGCTGCTATGATCAGCGGGTATTTAAAACGAAAATTTCTTGCAAATGCTGTAAAACGGAAAATTGTCACGAATTATTGATGGACCCCAGCATGGTTGCTCTATTTTGACGAAACCTTTGACAATTTACAATCAGCGCAACAGAAAAATCGCTTCTTACTGCTTTGAATAATTTATCACAGTTTTGGAAACCTTGAAATGATCAGCATGCATCAATTTTGTCAGAATTTTCAAGAGCACCAAGCACTTCTGATCGTATGACAGAATAAACATAGTTCGTTACCCAGTTTCAGGGGTCTTTGGCGTGAAATACAGGTTGTACAACATATATTTGTAAAATAATAAAAATGATCGACTTAGAAACCAACTAACCGAGTTTTATAGAAGAAATGAAAAAAAAATTCAGGATTTTTTTTATTTCAAGCACTGCAATAGGAGTGGTTTTTGGTCTTCAGTTGGACAAGGGTTAAGTGGAATCTAGAAATGCATTTCCTTTCAAAATTTCAGTCAAAATTCAGTGCACAAAACCCGTACATATTTTGCTTCAAATTAAATTTGTGCCCTTGCTATTCACGAATTTTCTCAACACTAAATGGAGGTGGGAAGCATTCAAACTTCATATGTTTTTTTGACGCTTTAAACCCTTGTGCAGCAAAGTTGGACTATTTTTGCAACATTTTGTTGAACCTCATAGAGGTGAAGAAAAAATGACAAAAGGGGGTTGAGGGCAAAGTTGAAAAAAATCCCAACATTTTTAACATTGGTGCAGAACAATTTTGAGGGGAAAAAAGCTCTGATAAGCAACAGGCTTTTCTTGGATTTGTCATCCAAAATTTGCCTCAGCTCACCTGGAAGGGTTTTCCTGACCTTCAAAAAACTAAAAATGTTGGAGGATACAAAAATAATCCTGCTCCATCCCTCAATGGGAAAGACCAGATTTTAGTCCAAAAGCCCCCCTTGGTGCAAAAATTGGGGATTACAGGTATTCTTGCAACTCTTGATGGTAAGCTGCACCTTTCACCAGCAGGCCCAGCACAAGGCCAAGCATCAATATGTTTGTAAGTTGAGTATATGAAGGGATACTTCACCTGCAGTGGTCATAAGTGATTCTTTGAATGTCAAAGCATCATCACTTGCTGACTTCTGCAAAATCTACAGTTCACTTTGTTGATCCAATGGCTGGTGCACTTCAGATACTCAAAAATCAGAAGGGCAGTCAAAAGGCATACTACAATGGCTATTTATTCATGTTTAAGATCACAAAAGCCAGTACTGGGTAGATGCTGGGAATGTGTGTGACAGAATAATTAGACTCCCCATATGACATCACGCAGTTTTCATTCTCTCAAGAAATCAAGAATGTTTCAGAACATTTGAGAATACTCCAAGCCGCGGATTCTTGGGAGGGAGGAAAGTACTCTCCCCCAAAGATCCAAGACAGTCTGGCACCAACCGTTACATGCTTAACATCAATCTCCCCACTTCTACCTGTGTTATTATGTGTGAATTCAATTTTACCTGTGTTCTGATTTTCTATGTGAATTGAATCTGTTACTTTGATTCAAATCTATTGTGTGATTCAAATCTCTTGTGATCTGTGAATTAATTAGGGGTAAAGAAATGCAATTATATTTTATCTTTTGGGATTTCCTTAAGGAAATCCCCAGCTGAACCCCACAGCTGAATGATGTGTTTTATTTTCGGATGATTCACCTTTTCTGCCTCTTTTTGTAATTCTTTATTACAATGTGCTAATGAAGAAGGAGATGAGATAAGAGGGCCACATCAAGAAGTAAATGACATGGAGTGCATTAGTATAGTGACACTGAGGAAGAGGCAGCAGAGAAGGCAATCTTAAAGATTATTCAACAGTCCTCTTGAGGACTAATGAAACCAAACGGCCCTTCTCAGGGCCACAAAACACTGTTACGAAACTTGCATCCAATTAAAAAAAAAGAGAGGGGGCTTTTGACCTAGGGGGCTTTTGGCAGGGGGGAGGCTTTTGTTTGGGTACTGGAAAGAACCCTCTGCTGTCCAAGGGTTAATAGTCATAGAAAAAAAAGGCGTGTCTATGCAGGTGGACTCTCCCTACAAAAAAATTCAAAGGAACCTGAAACATTTTTTTAAAGAGAGAAATTCAGTGCAGATAAAATTTAGAAGATGCAGAGAGAAACCCAAGGCAGCCCCTATAAAAAATGCATTGAAAAAGAACATCATTGTAGACAAGATTGCTACAGAAAATTTAGAGTGAGTCCACAACAAGTAAATACTGTATGCAGTCTTCAGCTTGAATTTCCCCTCTCTTCCGCGCCAAATTTTTGCGAATTTCCCAACTAAACCTTTTCAGGACTTCTCCTCTCTGATTTGCGCATGGCTTGTATTAGTCCAGAATAAAAAATACATAAATAATTGGATGGAAAAAATTGCACTTGCCACATTCGTTGAACAAAACAGCAGCAGCAGCCAGTGTGGCATGGCCACACAGTGACACTTCATTGGTGGGTGTGAACCAACGCAACCCGAACTCAGAGTCAGTCTTGAAGTCGCCTTCGATTCGCAATTTCGTCACGAACGCCGTTTCCGACAAGTTGAACTCCGCAGCGATGTCTTGCTTCAGGAAATCGGGCAAATCCTGAATTGGAGCAGAAAAATGGCATGCAAATGCTGATGATGTGGGTTTCGAACTTTTCAGAAGAAGAAAACTCTGCATTTCCAAGCAGTTTCTGAACTTATTGTGTCTGCTGATGGCAAATGAACGTTTGCCACCGTCGTGGGCGTTTATTCCCTTATACAAGGGTTATTCCAAGGGTTGCCTCCAGATCTTCCAAGGTCATTTTCATCTAGGCTGTAGATTAAAATGGTGGCATTACCTTGAAAGACCTGGAGGCAACCGTTGGAATTAATGCCACATTGATTTCAAGAATTCTGAGGGGAAAGCTGGGCTACGACAACAAAATCTGCAGGAAGGGCGCCTCATCTTTTGAGTGGAGAGAAAAACTACAGTCTTTCAGCAAATGTTAGTATTTTACTTCAGCATGCAATTTGGTTGCTGCGCTGTACCTGAACTCCTTCAATGATGCAAACAGCGGCAGGGTTGCCGGAAAAGTGCTCATCCGTGAACGAGTCAACCACGAATACAGGCATTGAAATACACAGTTTGCCCATGCCAACACTTCCCCTGCGTTTCCTGCGAGCAGCCAACATCTGCAAATTCAAAATTTCGTTCTCAAATTGAAAGTCAATAGAATTCCTACATTTTTTTTGTGCCTTCAACTTGACGAATGAAACGGGAAGAGAAGATTCGTCGTAAGATTGTGAGTAGAAAGGCGGTTCTGGGTTGAGCCGCCTCCAAGGAAAAACCGCGTTTTAACAATAAGAAGGCGGCTGTGATGAGACGTTTGATGCATAATTTTTCAAAAGTCGAATTTGGCAAGCAGAAACTGCACTGATTCATTATGGAGTCTCAAGCTACTGGTTTTGATGAAAGGGCCCGCAGTTGAATTTTGTGCTTATATTTATAAGACTCAATAGCATCTATTTCCGAGATTTTTCTTTTTAGTTTCGATTTTGCTGTGCTTTGAAAACGTTTGGATACATTTAACTGCTGAAATTAGCAATCTTACACCTCTAAACATTATAAGGACCATCACATATAGATTCCGAATAAAAAAATTTGGCAGGAAACACGATTTAAATTTCACAAATGGTATTTTGTACCTTATTATTTGCAGTTTGAATGAGATTGACACATGATCGATTGGTGGAATTTCCTCGGGAAAATGTTTGGAAGAAATATTGAAAACATATACAGTATTTAAAAAAAAATGTATTCAACGTGATTTCCTGAAAGGTTCTGTTATTAACTATCCCAATTTCGTTCCTCGCTCAATTTTTTTTTTTTAGTTCAGGCCAGTTTTCGCAGCTTTTCAGCAGCACTTTATTGCACAAAACCAGACCAACAATATCTTCAGGTGTTGCCAAAACTTAATAAAAAATACAGCAGTAGACACGACATTTTTTTCTCTTTCCAAGCCATTTCTTCAGATACATCCTACACACTTTTTTCCAAATTATGAAATTCTCGTTAAATTTTCCTCTATATTTCTCCGCGTGACCTCCTTTCGAAAATTTAAATATAGTGCAGTAGACCGACATGTTTTCATATTTCGAAACCCCTTCTTCAGATGGATACTCCACAATTTTTTTTTCGAATTATGAAATTCTCGCTGAATGTTCCTCAATATTTCTTCACGTGGGGTCTTCTCGAAAATTTATACTGTATGTAATGTACATCATTCTGTGCGAGAATAAAACAACCGATCCACGCTGTATTAATCCACCCAGAATCCATAAACTGAACAACCAGAAACTCACACAAAAAACCTGGAGATGCAACATTTCATTCGGTCTGAACAGTGCACACGAGCGGAGACGAGTCGACTCGTCGGGGATCATTGCAGAAAGAAATACGACACAAATAAATAAAAAATTCAATTCAATATAAAAAAAGGGACAGATTGTAGACGACTACGAGGAGAATTAGACGCAGATATTTAATAATAATAATAAAAACACACACACACACACACAAAAAGTAGGTACACGAATGAATAATTCAACGAGGGATTATTTTGCTTTTCAGAGCAGCAGCATCGAGGGGACGCGAGTTGATGCATTTATTCGGTGCCCGGGAATGCTGATCAGGTAAGATTGTGGGACGTGGACCTTACACGTGACGTGGAAACTACTGCAATGTGTGAGGGGAAAAAGTAAAGGAACCTTTCGCGCATTCTCTGTTCTATCTATGCGGAGTATGAATTGGAAATACATTTTAAAAATGTTATTAAATAAAAGAGAAACATTTTCAGTCAGCCCCATGCGCATCATGGATGGTCCGAAAATTCCAGTTTTCACACGCGAGTCTTTTCATTTCAAAAATTCTCTAGTATGATTAATTTATGAATCACTATAGCAGGTATACTGGGGAAAAATCAGATGAAAATAAATAGCCTTTTTGTTTGTTCCTGTCAACATTTCTGAAATGATTGAGGGATTTATTTCATCCCTTTCTTGGATATAAAATGAAAATTAGGAACCCAGCAAATGATTTTGGCATTGCAGCTTGTATTGCCAATAAGGCAATGCCCCAACGTCTGAAAGCAGGAAATAGAAATGAACAAAGATTTTTGTTCCACTCAATTGATATTTACTTCCTTTTTTGCCTTGCTTGTGCTGTATTACAGTGAGATCCCCACATGCAGACAATTCAACATAGGGATATTTGTTACTCAATATAGAAAAGGCATAAAAAGGACCAATAACATACAGACGCTGACTTGACATGCCATCATTGCAAGATGAAAGTACCAATAAATTTAAGGAAAATTGACTGTTATCAGGCTCAATTGCAAGAAACAGATATGTCCAACCCTACTAAGATCTATGCAAGAAAAATTCTTTGGTATTTCTCCCATCATTTTACAATCCATCCAGCTTATTAACCCTTGCTGGGCGGCAAAGTCAGACTTTTTTGCAGAATTTTGTTACACCTCAGAGAGGTGAAGAAAAAAATGTCAACAGGGGGTTAAGGGCAAAGTTGGGAAAAATCCCAATGTTTTTTTCCCTGGGCACAGAAAATTTTTGTAGAAAAATTAAAAAAAAAATGCACCGTTACTCTACAGGCTTTTTATTTGGATTTATCCCAACTTTGCCTCAGCCCACCTGAAAGGGTTTTCCTGACCTTCAAAATTATGAAAATGTGGGAGGATACAAGAATAATCCAACTCTGTCCTGCTATGGGAAAGAACCCTCTGCCTTCCAAGGGTTAAAATAAATTACCCATAACATAGAGGGACTTCCTTCACTCTTTGTGACTTGAATGTTATTTTTACAAATGCCAACACTTCCATGTACTGTACAGAAATACACTATATTGAATGCTCTGAATGTTCTTATTGAGTTGAAAAGATATTCACTGAATAAAATATAAGTGAGAACATTTTTTTCATGGGATTCTGAAGAATATTTCTTCCATAAAACACCAATTAAAATTATATAATCTAAGTCTAATAGAAAATGAGACTCAACTTAGGGACATTCAGACTTAGGGACACTCTTGATGCACCAATTATGTCTGAATCAAGGGGTCTCACTGTATTTTATGCTTAAAGCAAAAGGGTGAAAGCATACAATTGTGACTTGACAAAAGAAGTAATTTAGTCATTGTTTTCCGTACCGCCCGAATTTTTATTTGTATTCATAACCACTTGGAGATTTCTAAAATTCGTTCTTGGTATTGTAATTTAAAATAATTGAACATCGCAGCCATTCAAATTATAACTGAAAATACCCATAAATTCAAGGCACTTGAAAACAAATTAACTTCTACTTCTGCTGAAGTGTCACGTTTGCATAATATATAAAGTTCTGTAAATCGCAGACGAAGCTAAATCTTCCATTTCTAAAACTGGTAGATTTTGTTTTCCTGGAAAAGTACCAGAAAAAACAAAGGGCAACAGTTTTCCGACCCTTCGATTCTCTGAAAAAAATGTACATCAGTACAGTATTTCATGCGAATTCCAAAAGGCGTTTGTGAATTTGAAATTCCAAACATTTCCAAAAGAGGTTTGATATGTGTGAATACGTGTAACCCAGTGACTAAAATTGACTTCGAAAGAGTTCAATAAAAACACTTCGACCGATTTAAGATGATCAAAAAAACACACAAACGGATAAATGTATTCCAGGCTGCATTATTATTAGCACAATGTGTGAATAAGTTCTTCCATAGTCCTGAAGGTTTCCTTATTCGTTTTCGAAAATTGTATATTCATAGTTCAACTCATATGATGACTTACCTGACTCTTCGTGAATGTTTCACGTCAATCTACGTCCTGGAATTCCTGTGGAAATTCCACCGTGTATAAGAGCTAACTTCAGTATTTAAATTTAGATGAATTGTTTCCTTGGAGATTTGCAGACTGTATATACATCGTTGAAAAAAATCTCGTAAAATACTTCAGATCTTGATTTGGAAAAGCGTTGAATTTTCCTCACTGCATGAATTAACTTGACAAATGACAAGTACTGAGCATGCTACTCTCTGAATTTTGAAAACTATTTCAAGCCAACAACAAAGAATCTAGTAAGCGAATATGACTATATTACATTCTGCGAATAATTTTTGAGTGCTGGAACTTCATATCCTATGCCAAATAATTTACCTGAAAAATAACTGACAATGGGGAAATACCGAAGAAAAGTTAAGAGGTGAAAATCGGCTTTCATTAGTGATTATAAGGAAGCCTCTGTTGTATGCTATACACTATACTGATATCGCTTCCAAACTTCCGAAGCATTTTATCCCGCAAAATACGAATAAAATATGCTGTACTGTAATCAAAAGTTTCGATTGGAAGCGAATGGAAAGTTACTGATCATTTTTTTGGTAAGCTTGAGTTAAGGAAATAAAGTTCACTTGGAAAGGAAATGAAAAACCTCTCGTGTTGGCGGTTGTAATGCTTGAATAAAATTTTTCGAAAATTTGATCAGCGTCATCTGTGTTCTGTAGAAGAAATTAATAGATAAATTCACATTCTATTGCCGATTACACGCTCACATTTTTACATAGTCAAGAGTGCAGGAAATTATAGTTTGATAGCTAACTGAAATAAACCTCGGATCCTCAACATTTTCAACTATATCCGCGAAATAATCCTGGTTCTGTGTAGAACATCTCCATGATGATGAAGGAAGGATTACATTTTCTAAAAATGTTTGATTATTCGAATTGACACACTTTCACTGTTTCTTCGCCATGAATTTTTGGAATAAGTTGTCATGAAATCTGTGTGGAAATTTCATTGAAGCAGAAGGGAGAAATCATGCTGATCAAGATTGAATGAAATTTGTCCTTTAGCTAGCCAAGCCATTGCTTCACAGAACGAACTTTCTCAACTCGTATAATTTGATCAACGTTTGAGCTGCGCATCTCTTGTTATTTCTCCTTTCCTTGCACGAAACATTCGAAGTAATTTTCTTGTAAAAATTCAGAGAGACAATAAATAAGTTTTTCGATCGTCCTGAAAGTTTCCTTCTTCGTTTTCCTAATTTCATATTCAAGCTTCTACGCAAATGGGGAATTATGTGACTTTTTGTAGATGTTAGACATTAATTTTTGTCCTGGAATTCCTGCTCGAAAAGTT